TGCTCCAGGTTCAATCGAATGGCAGATCCCCGCAACGCCGATTTGACAAAACGACGTTTAGTAAATTGGCTTCAGCGTTGCCATTTTGTTAAAAAAATAAAAAAATATATTTTTTACTTCTAAAAACTTGTATTATTAAAGCCTTAAAACGAATTTTTTGTTACTTTTATTGTTTTCCTAAAAAAAATTCCCAAAGTTACCGATTGATTTTTAGGCGGTCAAGGTGGTGTAACCCCTTAATGCGGTCACGTCTGCGTAACAATAGCTTGGCCACGCTTAAATTAATTCATTCGATCAATGTTTAACTACGTGAATCTGTGAATTTGCAGTGCAATGGGGAGGCTGGTTACACGCGCGCGTCACTTGGTGAACGTGAAAAAAGAGGACGGATTCGTAGCGTTGCATCTAGCGGCGTGGAACGGACACAGGGAAGTCGCAGCCATCGTTCTCTCGCAAAACGGCTGCCACGCCAAAGTCGATCTTCGCAACAATATAGGGCAAACGCCGTTGCACTTAGCGACTTTGAAGAGACACTGGCCGCTCGTCGAGCTGCTGGTGCATCATAATGCGGACGTCGGCAGCACGGATAAAGATGGTGACACCGTGTTGCATATCGCGATAGCCGACAGCCTGAATCAACAGACTGCCGTGCCTACACTCGAAAGTAGCCGAAATTCACCGCTTATATATGCCGTACGTTGTCTGAAAGTTCTTACTTTTTATTACGTGAATAGGTGAATCAGTTCTATAAATCTATAGTTGTGCTGTTTTATATTTTAAGGTTTAAAATTTTAAAAAGGAAATGAAAAAAGAAAGGTTAATTTATCTTTTTTTTTTTCTAACAAACAATTCTTTTAGACAGATCTGGCAAAATCTGGCAAGGCAAGGTGCAAAGACTGAATTAGCATTAGCTTGTTTTCTGGTAAGCGTGGACAAAAGTTGCAAAGTTCTTGAGCAAGTCATAAACAATAATGACAAGACGCCACTCGATCTTCTGGAAGGCAATCCACAGGCCACTCGGCTCGCCGGTCTTTTACGATCTTACAAATACCAAAATCACAGGACGCAATTAGAGTAAGACGACGAGAATACGAATGTTTTATACATTTTGCAATGTCCGATCTTCGTAATGTAAATTTGATTGAGACGCGACATTAAATTGATTTAAGTTCGCAGTAGCTTAAGATGCCTATAAGCATCGAATTATTAAAAAATGAAGATCAATCGTGATCTCACTATTTCAACTTTAACTAATGATTGCGTCGCAAGTTCGAAAATTATTCGGTGCGCAGTTTAAATGATTGAATAATGAATTTAGAAATTCATAATAGAATTTATTATAGACATCAAGATCTAGCCGTGACCGTAGAAGGCGCTTTCAACTTTATTTGTGTTATTCACTTATACGGTCTTCTGGTTTAAATTAAAATCGATTTATGTTTTGAAAACTGATTTTGCAATTACTTAACGCTTTCGGAAATACTAAACTGATTTTGGCAATTTAGAGTTTTATTAACGAACGTAAAATGTAATTTGTTTTGCAGAATCGAGAACAATCCATTAACCGGTTACCGGATAGTAGAACTACCTCCGTATCGGATAAATAATATATCGCTATCGGAATTAGGATTGCGCTGCGCGAAGAAGAATATAGTCGGCTCCTGCAACACCGCGGAATGTCGGGATGGCTTGGGGATCATAGCGGAGAACACGAATCAGGAAAACCGATTTGATCCCAGCAGTAGTGTCACGCAAGTTAATCGTATCCGTTGCGGTTACAACGAAATAATGCAAATGTTTGAAGGTACGTGATTTTTCGGTTTTATTGTAAATGATCTAAACTGAGCAAAAAAATGGCGAAGTAAGCGTTTGTTGCACCAACGAGATATTCTACACAGCAAATTACATAGCTATAAAAAATCCCGTGGAAATCGTACGCGAACGTTTTACAATATTTTCGAACATTTTTTTCTAGACCGTCAGCTTGCGACAGGCAAGGTTTCCACAACCGATCCGGAGAATAAATCGAAGGACGTATCGTTGGATGGCAAACACAAGGAAGATATCAGCGACAGGGAAAAGGAGAAGGACAAAAATCTGGAGCGGCTACGTTATTTGGAGACTAGAGTTGCGGATCTCGAGGAGGCGAATTTGTGCAGCATCTGCATGGACCATCATCGTAACATCGTTTTCTGCTGCGGGCATTCCGCGTGTAAGCACTGCGCCGCTCAGCTGAAGATCTGTCATATATGTCGCAAGAAGATCAGAAGGAAGATCAATTTGTATTAGACTGTCCGATCAATAATCGGTTAGATTATCCGATCAATGATCACGCTAGAACGTTACACCACGCGGTGCGCGCGTGTACAGTGTGTCTCGGGAGGAAAAGTCGGTGTCAGTGGTAATAATAGTAAAACGGCCGTGATGCGTCCAGTTTTAAAGCATTCCAGCGTTCTGGATTCTAACACAGCTTATATATGAGAATGAGAGACACGTGTTCGCAGAAATTTGTTCACTCGAATCCATGTTGCACATTTCTCTTGAGACACTCTGTTTGCTTGGTCAAAAAGAAATTCTGCCTTGCGAGGTGTCGATGTAAGAGAATATTCACCAATTAATCGTGAGGATGCTCTTATTACGTCGCGCGCTGGTTAAAATTAAATGTACCAAATGTTACTAAAATGTACACTTCCTATCCGCAAAAAATTTGTACGAAAGAGACGAATCTCTTATATCGCATCGAACATCGTGCCATATATTATAGTGAGACAGATTTACGCGTAACACGAGAATCATATTTGTTTGGACACGAGATAGTTCGATCTCACGTTAACTTTTATTTTTTTTGTAGGCTATTAGTTAAGTAATCTGTTATTAATACCAATTGATTTCTAAGAAAACTCATAGTATCGATATAAGCATCAATATCAAGTATAATTATTATTCGAGTAAACAAATAAGATGTGCTTCTCAATGTTTACGAGAAAGAAGTTGAAAAATTTCGAGGTACTGATCGAGGTACTGATAAACAAGTTCAGCGCAGAGCGTTTTACCGATGATTTAGTTTTAGTAGCATAGGAGTAACACACTTGATTTGTAACGTCGACGTTGCAGGTTCGAATTCCCAATTTTTTTTTAGTAGACTGCAATTTTTTACACAAACGTACATCACATAAATTAACACATTTTATTTATTTATTGTACATTACAAAAAGATGCATTTTCTCGCTTGCGATTTTTGCCGAGAAAATTTATTTAATGGATGTTGTAACACAAAACACGAATAAATGTGAAACATATTTCATTCTTTAACAAGAGCACGACGAGATACTGTTAAAGACCGCCAAACTCGAGTAAATTCTTGTACCCACCAAAGAGTCCGGACTGGCCCGGAAATAATTGCAGAATGTTATCGACTACTGACATAAATTTGCGATTATTAACATAAATATTGAATATAATACATTGTTAAAATTATAATTTTTTTATTATATAAATATTTTTATAAATAAATACAAATACTTACAATGCTATAATATCATATATACATATTATCGCAAAATTACAATTCTTTTTTCTACTGTTACCATCTCTCTAGAGTCTAGATATATAATCAAACACACGGATGGTAACTATAAAAATGCAATTTGAATAAAATTTACTAATTTAGCAATAAGTTGTAAATATATACATGTCTAAAAAAACGTTAATTTAATAATAAATCATAAAATTAATATATTATTGGCTAATTGCTTAAATAATGTTAATAGTTACGCCAACTCCCGTAAGATTGTCGATACGTGATCTTTATCCAGATAGACAAATATCAGTATATTATCTGCTATATATTGACGATTAAAAATTGTTGCATAATTACCGTGAGATGCGCGCGTCGCCATATGAGAAATCAGCATATGAAAGAGCTTGGTAAAATGGAATCTATTGAATATCCGTGATTATAGTTAGAGAATCGAGATTTGATTTGACTACGACGCCAATTTCTACAACATAGCAACAGCTGTTGGTACGTATGAATAAAAGAGGGTTGTTACCACTTCCGTAACCACGTTGATTGATTGTGAGTGAGTGTGGTGTGCTTGATTTCTGTTTTCATTGATTTCTTATTCAACATATTATAATTTTTTTGTATTACAATAAGTGCAAATAGAAATTTATTGTTTTATTGGAAATAAAGATAAAAAAATGTAGGTAAATAAAATTATTATTCTCTAACTAACAATAAGCTCACTTAATTTGAGGTTATATTTTGCGTCTTGGCGCATGGTTACTAATGTTAAAATTATATATGAAAATATATCTGAAAATATATAAACATTTATAATTGTTATCTTATAGAGTGAATTTTAATGAAAGTTCGGAAACTTTTGGGATAGACTGTGTATAGACTTTTTAATTAATTTTATAATAATATACGTAGATATATATATATTTTGCACTTCATGCAAATAAGTATATATATTTAAAAATTTAACGCACAGGTATGTAAAAATATATAAAGTATAGAAACGGCCGTCCACAGACTTATTATTATAATGGAGTTTAAATGATCAATTGTATGCAGATCGTAAAAAAATAATAATTTAGAATTAACCTAAATTACAAATATCTATAAAACTATTTAGCAATTTTACTAATAAAAATAGTAATTATGTGTAGTATAGTGATTATGCAACTATTATAGAAAAATTATAAAGGCAGCATGATTGATACATTCACATGATGTACATTATTAAATATTGGCCATACAAATATTAAACCAATATTTAACAAATGTGTGCCAATGTTGAAAAAAAATGTAATAGCAAAAAGAGATAAATTATTGTGGCCGTCGCAAGAATAGATATTTATTTTATTTTATATATAAGTTTAACATTGTAATCAATGCATGCGCCAAGACGCAACAATAACTTTAAATTAATCGAGCTTAATTAAAGAATAATTTTACTTACCTATTTTATCTTTGTTTCAAACAAAAAACAAAGAATCCTGTATACAATTCTTATAAAAATTTCCGGTGAAATTGGCTGAAATTTGATATGTTGTAGATTTTGACTCATTGATCAAAATAAGTCTCAATAATCATCAATTTTGGATATTTGAATTCTAAAAGTATTGATTATTTGACCTGGTGATCATTGAGATTTTTGATCAGTGAGTAAAATCTACATCATATCAAAATTTCAGCCAATTTGACCGGGACCCCATTTTTATAAAAAATGTGCAGGGTTCTTTCTATTTGCTTATTGTAATGCATAAAATTATAATATGTTGAATACAAAAATCTATTAAATCAAATCAAAATGACAGCATAATGTCAGCATTTTATGTATATGTACAAAAAAATTTGGCTATAATTGAATTATAATATGCAATTTTCTATGTCAACAAAATACTATATATTTTTGAAGGATAATATCCTTATTTAAAATTGCATAAGACTGCAACATCTTATGTATACATTTTAACTAAATAATATAAGTATTTGTCTTAATTAATATTCGTTAAATAGTTTTATTCAGTTATTACTTCCACGAATAATACAAATAAAACGTAATTTTTCATGGAAAACAATTTATATATAATTGCAGTTATACATTTGTAGTAAAGTGGCAATATATTGCTATATTGTAAAATGTATAAATTGTATAACAGCAATTTGACGTTATAATCACTACATTTAAATTATTTGTAATTTTATGCTGTTATAATAACATCATACAAAATACATAAAACGTTTTGATTTTATGTCCAGTACGTTTGTCTATCTGGATAATTAATATACAGTATTTCATCGGTGGCAAAAGCAATAAAATGCTGTAATTTTATGCAATTATTGTAGTTTAAAATAATGTATATGTAGTTAGTATATATGTAGTTTAAAATAACATATATTATATAATACGTCTTTTATTCGGACATTTCTAGAACGTTGGCTTCAAAGTGGATAGGAAGGAGAAGAGGCAAGATAAAGAACAAAGAATGAGAAATTCCGTTACACACGGTGACGCAGAAAAGGGTCCATTTGATTGCTAGTAGTACTTAATGTAGGAACGTATGCGGTGTTACATAATATTAAAAGATGGAAGGTGTACCTGATCCTTTGCAGACATCGGAATGTAAAAGTGATAGTAATTCATTTTATAATGACGAGTCAAAATTATGGGTGAAAGATGAAATTAATTATTTTGAAAATTCACTCCTCGAAAATGATCTGGCACTGGAATCATCTGGGAAAATTTTCCACGAAGAATTACAAATCGGCGAAGATCTGGCTGAATCCACCATTGACATACAGGACGACAAGACATTTGTGAAAACAGAAGAATTATTTCTTTTACAAGAAGATTCTGAAACAAGATGTGAATTTCACAAGACCGAAGACGACGATTCCGATCAATATATGTTACCGGGGGAAGAAAAGACATTGGAATATATTCCTCTGGAATACAAAATTAAGGTCGTCAACTTGGCCAAAGAGCATCCAAAGTGGAGTCTTAAAACTTTACAAAAGAATGGATGCTCACGTTTAAAATCTATGAAGCTTTTATATCGGTGGAAAGAAGATATCAAGCGTGGAGGAACAAGAATAGACAAATACACCGCCATTGATTCCTGGACGTATGATCGCTTTGTGGAAGCCTGCAGAGCTAATCACCAGCAGGTTACGACTAGGGATTTGCAGCAATGGGCGCTGACCGCTGCAAATAAATTCAAAGACTTTTCTTTTAAGGCATCTAAGAGGTGGGTCTGGAAATTTAAAAAGAAACACAAAATCAAACAAAGAAAATACACGAAGGATGTAACTGCAATAGAAACTGCCGCGATGGATATAAAGAAATAGATTTTCTGGGCAAACGAGAAAATTTGTAATCTTCCACTTACACATTTTGTCTGATTAAAGCTTAAGTATTTGTAATCATCTAAACAATGCCTTTTGTATCAAAATAGGTATCAAACTAAACCTACGGAAGACACACACACACACCCCCATTAATTTACATAAAATAAACCTTGTAATTTCTAACTAAAACGATGCAACAGAATTAATTGACGTAACCTGTAATTTTATCATGACATTTGTATCTGTTGCGAAATTGATATCAATTTTATTACGTTAGACTTAATATTTTTTACGCTATAATTGACTATACAGTTTAAATCAGTAATCGGAAGACGCCAAATTAATTACTAAAATATTTCTCGAAATCAACATTGTGGAATATAGCTTTAATATTAATATTTTAAAATACATAATTGAGAAATATTAAATTTGACATGGCGTTTCCCGGTTGCTAATTCAAATTGTGTAATTAATTATAGCGTAAAAAAAATCAAGTATTTTATAAAATGTAAAATTCTTTATCTAATTTTTTTATAATGTGCTGAAAATAAAAAAAATAAATTTGAGTGTTTTATATTCGTTTTAGATTATATTTTTATTTATTTAATTATCCTTAAAATTTTAAATTTTTAAATTTATCATTTTGTTTATTTTTAATTCTTATTATTTAATTTTATTCATTTTATTTCATACTTTTGAAATCAATTGTATACGTATTTATGTGTACATTTTTAGCTTTATACAGAAACATATCTTTACATAACACAGATATATAATATAGTACTGTAACTTTTAATTTTGTTTTATTTTTTGACGGCGTGGGACATTTTTACTAGCCTGAAAAATAAAGATTTTTTGCGTTTGGATTGCAGGAAAAGTATAAATATACGACTGTTTGTAATTTGACACTTTATTCATACATATAATAAACTTGTATACTATGTTTCAAATTTTATTGAGAATTTTAATTTTTCGAGAAAATACAACAATCCGCGTAAAACGTGCATTTTTAAACGGTGTACATGATTCCTTCATTTTGGTTATTTTGAAACAAAAAATCGAAATAGTTTTATAAATTAAAATGTACTCCTTATCATTTGACGGACAATTTTGTTGATAACATTTTTAGTTTCCAAAGTACAATAATATTTATAGTATCAAAAATGTGTCAAAAATTTAAACATGTTTATTTCCGTCAATTTTCAAAAAAATGAAATAAAGCTCCGTCAGACGATAGGAAGTACATTTTAATTTATGAAACTATTTCGATTTTTTGTTTCAGAATAACCAAAATAGCGGAATCATGTACACCGTTTACCAATGCACGTTTTACGCGGATTGCTGTATTTCTTCGAGAGATTAATATTTTTCAATAAAATTTAAAACATAAGTTTAATATATATATTAATAAAGTGCCAAATTGTGGATCGTATTTATACTTTTCCAATTCAAGCTCAAAAAATATTTATTTCAAAGTATCCTACTTCCTTAAACTTCAAATTTTTAATTTTTGTTTTTATTTTTACAATTAGCATTTAATTTACTTCCGACAGCAGTCGGGAGTATATTTTTTTAAAAACTACCTCTTTTATAATATAAGTATTACATTTTATTTAATTTTTAGTTTTTATTTTTAAGTTTTAAGAAAGCATAATTGACGGCTAAAACCTTTTAAATGTTCAGAATGACCTTATTATCATATGTCAAGCTCATCGGAGTTGGCCTCCTAAATTATATTATCTTCTAACCTTCATATTTCCTCCTTCTTCTAAATATAATGAAGCAAGTTCAAAAGATGCCCATCATGTTAGCTACTACAAAAATCATTCATATATATAAATCTTATACCTCGAGAAATCGTCAAAAAAGTCCTTACCTATTATAAATAATATTGTTTTTCGCACGTATTCCATGGGTGTTGATCCACAGGCCACGCAAATTGAGGCACCAGCCTCGGTTTTCTTGTATAATGATGTCACGGCTGTCTTATAGAGCAGGTGTGCTGATACAAGTGAATGCGAAATTTTGCCTTTTGTTTATTGACATTCAATTTTATTTCTTATTCTCAAATTGCGGGCTGTATCTCGTATATTAATTAATAAGTTTAAGGCGAACTGGCGAGTGCTCCGGCCGGTACCGAGAGCGGCCAATATATTCAGGGAATCGTCATCAGCGATCCTTGATATTCCGAGAATCGACGAAATCATAATTTGGGATAACGTATATATATGTCGGCAATAATTGAAATGATGTATCGTGCGTTCAAAAAAAAAGATACATGGTACAACATATACAATACAATTATACATGATAAGATATGTGGATAGATATTTTTATATAATTCTATACATAAATTTACACAATATGTACTATAAAATCTCATATATAAATATGTACGAAAATGTCTGTGAATCCCATATCTCATGTATATTTATATATATAATATATAATATTATTTTATAAATGAATATATAAAAAGAAATTTATGTGTATTATTATACTGTATACATATATAAGAATTAGACAATATTATATAAATAATTTCTACATAATTAAATTAATTTTTTTAATAGTTAATATGATTACAAATGAAAAATTTTTTTACTGGAAAGCTTTGAAAGTCTATTTTACTGATGTTAAAAATATAAAATATTTATATGGTTATGAATACGCATAAAAAAGTGTGTTCCAAGTTGTAGGATTTCTAAGTTTTTGATAAAAAATTTTTGAGAATTTATTCTTGATTAAAATAGTTGTAGCAAACTTTAATTTAAATTATTTTACATTAAATCAAGAGTAATATAATAACTTCCGTATGCAACAGTGTATACATCTTAGAGCATTTTATTATTAATTACTCGAACACGTTCAACACTTTCGGAATATAAGTTATTTCAGATACGTTTGTGTAAATTTTTGTTAAGAAAATTTAACTATTTATCAAGACTGCTTAATTACTTTACTTTTCTTAAGATAGTTACGTAATAAGATAAGCTTGATAAAATTTTTTAGGAAAAGAAATTTAAACTTTTTTCCTTAAAAATATGAAAATTAAAGGAAAAATTTATCCAACATTAACATATTTAGATTCTTAAATGTTTTCTTTAATGGAATTAACTTGAAAAAAAAAATTAAAAAAATAATTATATAAGTAAGCGTTGTAAAGTCTACAAAAAATATAAAGACAAAAATTTAGAAATTTTTTAAACAAAATACGTAAATTAAATTATTTATTACACATTGATAAAAGTAATGATTTCCGTTTCATAATAAAATGGAACGAATTAAAAGTATCATTAGAAATTTAATGCACATATGTATATTTAATTTCCAAACCGAAATGTGTGATCAAATGAAATTGCCAACATACTTTTAATTCTTCGTACTATGAATTTACAAATGCAATATTTTTAAATTGTTAAATTTAATATTTAACATTTAACAAATACTTTTATAATTCTAACTAACTGAATTTATATAATCATACATGTTGTTTAAATATTGTTCAGAATTTTGATAATACTTATATGTTTTTCTACGAACATAGAAAAACATGTCTGTTTCGGAACAAACACACACATTAATAAAAATGATTAATATCTTTCTTAGATTTATTCTCAATGTCAATGTAATTTTCTTAAAAATAATTTTTATATAATAAGTGCAATACAATTTTTACACGTTATATTTAATACACAAAAAGCTTGATATTTTTTTTTAACAATGATGCTTGTAAAAATGAAAAAACAGCTTTATAAATGATTAATTATGTTAATTTAATATTCTTTATAACTTGTATGAATTTTAGAGATTTTCTTGAACATTCTCTGCACCACAGAGTAATATTTCCATTAAGTAGAATATCAGGAAAATTGGTTAGAGCAATCGCAATTTGATTAGTGGACATTCGAGGAGTTTGAAAATTTGTTCACACAGAACCATCATTATCTAAATAAAGGGCTTGTTTCGGCATGTTGGAAGAAACCGTAAAGTTTCGATTATGGTTTACAGATATGTTGAAAGTGGTCTTGAATTGCGGATGTCGTCACAGCAAGGAAACAATCGCCGAGCTTCAGTATGATTGTTTTTCTGAATGTACGTTGCAAACAAGCACCTATATATAGCACATAATTTATATAATTTTAATGATTCTATTAATTTAATTAGTTAATTTTTTTTAACAATATTCTAAAATAATATATGTTTAGCTATAATATTGTTGATATTCTAAAATAATATAAAGTTTTAATCATAATATTGTTACAAATACATATATTGAATGGAAACAATAAATAATGAATTTTTTAATTACATTTTATATAGTATTCTACGTAGCTTTAAGTTTTTGTACACTATGGAAATAATTTATATACCAGGGTATCCCAGAATTCTTAGAACAATGCTCGTGTGCAGATACAGCGGACTAAACTGACAACGAGTCGAAAAGTCCTGTACCATTTTGCAATTCTCGCAATGGCTTACGAGAAATTAATTTATTAAAATCTACGAATCCGCGCGATTTGGCGACAAAAGACGGCCCACCATTTACGGTTGCAAAGCGTGACACTAGATTTGAAAAAGTATTATGTAAATAGCAATGTTTATACATATCCGTCATTTTTTATGAAATGCCTCTCTTACTATCATGCCGTTAAAATGAGATTTAGAAACCCTAAATGGTTGGGCTCTCTCTTGTGATCAATTAGCACGGAATCGTATATATCTTTATATTTTCTTTTTAATTAATTTTTTGTTAACTATTACTCGACAATTACAAAATAGAACTTTTCGAGACTAATTGTAAGTTTAGTCCACTCTATCTGTACATAAGCATTGTTCTAAATATTCTGGGACACTTTATATAACAATAAAATATGATACTTTGACATAATGTACAATATTATAATATGTTATAAGCGTGTCTTTTTTAGCCTTTAACGTTTACTCATACAGTATCTCCATCTCTGTTTACATAGAAACTTCTAAAGGAGCCTTCTTCATTGTCATTTGCTACATTGATGTCATTTATTGTATTAATGAGTTCCATTTTCAGAATGTATACACAGATAGTACATCGGTAAAATACAGTTGTATAGTTTCCGTCGTTAAATCAATGGTAAATGTGGTGAATTTATAAACTTTTGTGTTATCGCTTTTAATTAACTCTATTACCCATAAATAGTTCATATCTGCACCACGAAGTGTTATATATTGTGTCGGATGAGTAATATTGATGGTTATTCTGAATTCGCTACTAAATTAGATTGTCGCGTGGATTTCTTATATACCGTTTCTCATCGTTTTCATCGAAAGTATGTCTTCCGATAAATAGATTTACATCATAGTGCTTCGGTATCACGTCCAGCAAATTCCAATCTTCCATTGTAGAGTTAAAACTATTTTCTTCTGCACCGGTAAGAACAATCATCGCGGTGATGATTATTATGCTAATATATGTATTCGTGTTAGACTCATGTTGCATCAATTTTTGTTTCAAGTACCCGGCGGAATAATTTTATATAAGAAACATT